GTCAAAAGATATTTTACCTGCTATATTGTTTCATTGTCTGTAAAAAAATAGAGTAGTTTCGAACCAGCTAAACAAAATATTTAATATTAAAATGTTTAATTCATCTGTTTATTTTTGACATATGAATATCTCCAGAAACCTTAAGAACTATAAAATATCCTATCAGTTTTTTTAATTGTATTTGAAATATAGTTTTCTGTAAGTTTTATTTTCGCTGTTTCGATACTTTTTCTTCCTCTAACACACCAGATATTCTTGTAAATTTGCGTTGAGTTGTGGCAATGTTTAATAGTTTAATTGATTCGGCATTATTTCAATTATTAATTATAATATATAAACATATGTGAGTAAAAATGAACCTTTTGTGAATGAGATTTAGGTTTACCGTTTGTACTACTAATTACTAATGGTAGTATTCATATCTCATTGAAAATTATCTAGAAAAAGCGAACATTTCCTATAAAAGAATTTTCTTTTCTGGGAATTATTGCATGGGAAAAGTGTTCGGATTGTACTCTTCAGTTATACGCAGCTCATTGCATCAAGATGATTCAATGTACAGAGCTCAAAATTTTCGTACATTTTACTGCTATAAACTGTAATGTTTTTATATATATTGAAAAAAATATTTTTAAGGACTCTAGTTTCGCAGTACTACATTTAAAAATTACATCGTTAATCAAACCCTCACGTACAGTCCTAGTGAAAGTCGTGTTCTTGTTGTGAGGAGAGTAAGTACTTTTATTTAAAATTATGTTCTATTTTATAGAAATGGTTGTTGCACATACCACAGTTATTTTTCTAATTGCCTGAATCTTGAATACCCAAAGTGTGAAACGTTTTATGGACTTTTGTTTGCAGTGCCATTGAATAGATGGGGATGGAGTTTTGGTTACATACATAGATATTGACATAACTACGTCCATTATAGTAAGATTGTATTTTGTCAACGTTCTTTTCTAGATGAAGAACAGTGGATGGCATTGACCAATGAAGGAGAAACACTACCTCTTCTTTATGATTCTATTGATCAGAACGTACGCGTCTCAGTGCACGAGCCACTAAATAAAACAATTTACTTCGTCGCATCTGGTAAGGTTTTTAATGTTTTTTTTTCCATTTTTAACCTTAAATATCTATTAAAATGTATTGTTTAAAATGTTTAGAGTTCAAATGATTTTTATTTTTGAAAATAAATAGCTAGAATTGATATGTTATTTATTAGGGGATTACATTCCCATGATAAGTATTCTTACGTGTTTTAAAAAGACTAATCATGCGTATGCAATCCAAAATATCCCAAACATATACGTCTATGAGAAGATGAGGTTCAATCCAAGTTCGTTGTTTGTTTTTCGAATAGAATTTAACTAGTTCATTGTCGTTCTTCAGTTATTGAATAACGAATAATGAACAACGAACCAGTTTGTTTTTCGTTGTTTGTTTTTTCAGTAAGAATAAACGAACTTGCTCTTTTTTACTTCTCAGTTATTGAATAAGAGAATATGAACAAGGAACCAGTTCGCTTATCAGCTTCCGAGTAATAGATAAATATGGTTTATCTTTATTTTTCTGTTTTCGACTTTCAGATATCCGTTATTTCAACTTCACGTGAAGTGTCTTTTCATTTGTGACACAAACAATGAAGACTTTGAGAAAATTGCATATCTCTTAGGTAATTCTTTTCAGAACATTCTAAGACAACACTGGCAGTCTTATGAGCCTTATCCCAAATGTATATCATATAAAAAATTAAAGTTGTCTTCACTTAAGGCAGCAGACACTTTATTTAAAACGACATAAGTTTTTTTTCCACCAATCTTGGCTAAATATGAAACCATTTGGTTTTACCAAATATAGCCTTTCAGTTTTTTAAGGCGTAGTTATTTTACAGTTGATGTTATTTTTACTGGCAGGTGAAATACATAGGTACATAAAAAAGATTACATACAACTGATGGAATAAAATAAATTAAAAGAACATTGATATTCAACATTTTGTTACATGTAAATAAAAAAGTATCAGAAAAATGAAACACTGTTACTTTGTTACTTACATAAAATATAAGAATAATGTATCAGTTTTTCAAAGTTATTTTTTTATATTAAAACCATACAAAAGTCTGTGAATTTAACAATGGAATTATTTCCTTAAATTGACATTAAAGGATCTGAAAATATCGAAATAATAATATTAACAATAAAAAGGTCCCAAATAAAATATAAGATAAAATTATTGCTATCCAGTAATACATTATATCATAAGAATTACATAACCAAATTACTCTGCATATCATTACACTTGAAGATATCATTCAGCGAAAACAATAAAAATAATGTTAAATATGATGAAGTTTTAATTGTTTACTTCCTCTCTCTGTATAAAATTGCTAAAACAACATGTTCATGTCTTCTATCATCGCCCCTTTCTTTCACAGCTTTAATTTCTGGAGTTGACAGTCCATCATATTTGCACCACATGCTGTAGCCTTCATTCCAAAGATTGCGATAAAAATGAGTTCCATTGCATAAAGTGTATGCAAGAACTGTGTATCTTTAAAATAACAAATCAATATATTGCTCAACATGAACTTGTTATGTAGAATGAGAATACAAACAAACTAATTGAGTTGTAGAAAGTTTTTCTTGTCGTCTGAAACACATCTGTTTAAAATAATATATCCAACAATTTATACACTTCTTCAAGTTAACCAGCCAATCAGAATTACTGAATGATCTCACTTTTTTTTTTTTTTTACAAAAGACCTTCACACCAACTCACTTCACAGTTCTATTCAAATGTAATGTATAAACACAAATAAAGCTGTATTTACTTCTGTACACTATTTTTTTTCTTAATTTCTCCCAAGAGCATCCACAGAGTCTGGGAGATTTTTGGGCAAGTCCCCTCCCTAGATTCAAACAACCATATTACTCTGCATGCACGTCTAGACCGCCCTTTTTGGTATTTTAAAAATCTTTATATATATATATATATATAGAGAGAGAGAGGAGGTAATTAACACTACTATTTCTTTCGTTTAGGTAGTGA